AAACAATTTTGGTACAGTTTCTATATAACAAACAGTACAGTTTAATGTTTTCTCAAACTTTGATCGAAGATATTTCCACAAACAATTGATCAAATTTGATAAATTTTTTTTTATTCAAATTCTATAGCTTTGTAGAATTTGAATAAAAAAATTTCACCAAATTTGGTCAATTGGTTGCAAAGATATCTTCGATTAACTTTTCTAAACAATTTTGCAGTTTCTAAATAATCATATAACAAACATTTTATAAAATTTTTCAAACATTTAGAAAGATATCTCAGAAACAAATTGATCAAATTGATGAATTTTTTTTATTCGAATTCTACAAAACTATAGAATTCAAATAAAAAAATTTTTATCGAATTTGATTAATTGGTTGCTGAGATATCTTTGATCAAAGTTTTGTAAACAATTTTGGCGCAGCTTCTATGTAACAGATAGTTTAATATTTTCTCAAAATTTGATTGAAGATATCTCGGCAACCAATTGATCAAATTCAATAAATTTTTTTTTTTTATCCGAATTCTATAGCTTTGTAGAATTTGAATAAAAAAAATTTTCATCGAATTTGATCAATTGGTTGCCGAGATATCTTCAATCAAAATTTTGTAAATAATTTTGCAATTTCTAACTAATCATGTGACAAATGTTTTATAAATTTCTTAAACATTTATAAAAGATATTTCAGCAACCAATTGATCAAATTCGATAATTTTTTTTTTTTTTTATTCAAATTCTACAGAACTATAGAATTTGAATAAAAAAATTTTTCACTGATTTTTATTAATTTTTTATTAAATTATTTTGAAATTTTATTTTAACTATATTGCACAACCACTTATTAATAACATATAATATACATTTTTTTTTTTTTTAGATTTATGTTTGTGAATTTTGTGAATATATCTGTTAGAAATATTTATTATATAAAGGACAATTAGTTTACTGATTACAAAAAGACATATACTATGCTTAAATTTGTGAATGTCATATGTTAATTAATAATATAAATTGATACTGAGCATATATATTTTGCACTTAATTATAAGTCACAATTAACCACCATAAACTGTTGGCAAGCGTATCTGTAATTACAATGGGTAAATCATGTGTGCGTTTATTAGAATCTGATATGGTGAAAATACATTTAAAAAATTCGCTTTATAATATCTAATATCAGATATACTAATTTCTCTGTTCCTGGTTTTGCGTAACAATGTTGCGCAGCTACTTATTTGATAATCGATAATTTTTCCGCACCTTAATATCATAATACGAGTATTTTATTTTGCATAAAATATTTTGTCTTGTTCTCTGAAAGTTTTTCCTATTGTATGATAAAAATAATACTACAATAATAGCACCGCCAGCCACTCCTATTAATCTGACCAAACTCAATATTAAATTAGACTTGTTCCTCCAACTATTTCAATTTTTTTTTTTTTTAGCTTTATAAATAAGTAATTTATATAATTTATGATAATATTATTATAAAAGTTGTTATAAATCTATTTCTACTACACAATTAACAAACCTTCAGCACTAATTCAGAGCCAGGTTTATACCAATTCGAATAATTTTATAGTTAATTAACCTAACCTATCTTGGGACCATATCATGCGGGATAATTATTATCTATAACTAGAGGCGCTTTACTAGATAAATCAATATACTATCAAAAATTATTATATAAGTATACTGCATATTCAAAATTTAAATATCTCATAAAAAAAAAACTTCAAATCTTACTTCTTTTGCTCCTTCCACAGATAGCAATAATTTAAATAAATTACGTTGTAAAATAAGATAAATTCAATAAATTATTATACCTTTATGTCACAAAATTGTCAATAGGGTTGTTAACGGAATGCTCTAGTCAAAATAAAATATATAACCCACTCCGTATCACTCCAAAAGCAGATTATATGTTTTATTATAATCTGAAGTACTCCATTAACAACCCCGCTGCCGAACAACCAAGTTCAAAAGCTGTGCATTGCTAAGCACATAAGATAATGATAATCCAATAAGTCGATTATTAAAATTATCGGTAGACAGACAAAATAATGGTCGAACATGAATCTTTAAATAGCTTGCACAGTAAAAATCTAATTTTTCTGCAGCTCACGATGGACTAACTTCTAGCACACTTAGATATATAAAATTTTAATAATCATGAACAATAACATTAAAACTTACTACTCTGAGCTAGGTTATTAGTAACTGAAGAGTTCTATTAACCCATGACACAAGAACCTGGGCAGATTACCATTAATATTACCAAATAATTGTATTAATGGCCTACAAAATGGACTTAGGATGGTGGTATGCAGGTGATAGTGCAGAGAAAGAAGACGTTGGTAAGGATGAAAATAAAGTACCCAACAAAGATCTAAAGCCTGATGCAAGTTGTAAGACAAGTTTACTCAAATGGTTCTGAGATAATGCGGACTGTAATGATTTTGTGAAAGAGGTAGAAAATACAAAGGAAAGAGTAGTTAAAGCAAGTAATGAAAAGGAGAGTAGTAAAAACGAGAAAAAAGAGGATGTGAGTGGATTGTATAGTATTGGACATTGTGGTGAAGAAAAGAAGGAAATTAAAAGGGACAAAAATAAGTTACTCACCTGCTACCAAAACACCAGTAATATGGACAAGGACGAAAAGCAGATGCTTGAGCAGAATTCAGAGTATGTTGAAAGTAGAGAATCAGTTATAGATCCTAAAGTAGAAGATGAAAATAGATTAGTATTTGACCGCAGAAAATTAATTAAAAGTGAAGCTCCAATATCAGATATACATTGTGGTGAAAGTGATGCTGAAAGTATACTTGTAGAATCCGATAGTAAAAAGTGCATGGCCAGATTTGATGAAGCTGCAGTATTTGAGTAGAATACGAAAGTTGCTGATGATGTTGAGTCTTGTGAACAAACTGATATTGAGTATAGTTACCAAAAAGGTAGTAATAGTTCAAATGTGAATAATGAAGAAAGGGAAATGTACGATGACGTAATTAAGAAAGAAGATAAAAACCTAAAAGATAAAATGAGTGCATGAGAATAAAAACCTGGAACTGATTATAATGATTTACTATGATCAGTTACAGGTTTTCATTCTCACGCACTCAAATAGGAATTAGGGGTGCAGTCATGGTGTCTAATAAAGGTGAATCTGTTAATTTAGATAAGAAAGATGTAGAGCTGGTTGGAAGTATAGCTCCAAAAAACATAGCTATAATCTACTGTAATGATGAAAGTAGTTAAATTGATTCGGGTAATAACCATAATATGAGCATTGCTAAGGTTGGCAGTAATAGACCTGAAGAGCGCAAATATCATTTTAAGTATAAAATCCATGTAAAAGATTATTGCAGAACTAGAGCTAGCAATGTGGATAAAGATAATGTCCTTGGTTGATTGTTGATGAAACGAATAGGCGATAGTTGCAATATATTGATGAGATATGTATTCGATCGAGAAAAAAATGCTAATCAATGTCTGGGATGCTGTAGTATAATACTTATAATATGAAAAAAAAAAAAAAAAAAAAAACAAAAAAATTTTTTGACGAAGGGTTGATATTTGTCTTTAAGGAGGTTCAAATAAACTGTCACGAGCATAGGACATACGTGATTTATGTGCTGATCAAGCAGAATTGTAGATATGAGATTGAATTATGAGCAGTTAGTATAAATACTAAAGTAAGGTATAATTAAGCAATAGTCAGTAATAAGAGTACTAAAAAAAAAAAAAAAAACACTTTTATATGCGATTAATTGAACAATGTATAGTATTCGTTGATACAGAGATTGGAATAGATCATATGCTTGTTGCGAATGGTAGTTAAACTAAGGATGCGCATGTTTGTATTGGATAGATAGGATGTTGCGAAAGTGAAAACTTCAGGAATGAAGTTCTGGGGATCTAGCTTATAACATGGTGATAACCAGTATGCAGTGTATCTAGTGCATGAGATCGATTTGGAGGTCTAAAAACAAATAATAAGTTAGATTAGTAAAAAAAAAAAAAAAATTATTAGTATAGGTCGTTACTTATCTTCGATCAAAAGAGCACATCGATCGATCATCACGTGTCCACATGACGATCGATCAATCATCATATGTCCATGTGACAATCGACCAGAATCAGAGTCAGTTATCGATCATTCAAGGAAACAATGCGCAGGATTAATATACAGTGCATGAATAATATCGTAATAGAGTTGATAGACAATGGCATAATTAGTAATAAGCAATAAAAAAGGTAAAATGGCATGATTAAATAATTAGGTAGTTAATAATAGTTAAAATTTGTATTTAAAGCAAAAAGCAAAATAAAGTTAATTAGTAATTTTTACCCGCAAAAATAAA